TTTCCAAGTGCCAATCAGGCCTTTCCTTTGATCAGTGTTATAATCAGATACAGCACTCCAGCATGGATTATTAAGTTTTAACAGTTGACACATCATTTCTGATACCATAATCTGGCAGCACTTTACAATAAGTGACAGGTCCTCACTAATTCCTTTTGTATTCACTGTAGCAACGTTAATCATGAGTGATGAACTTTGCGTATTCATATGGATGTAATAGGCAGTTCCCAAGGACTGAGACTGTAATTTAGCTTTAACCTAATGGGCACTGATTGTAACAATAAGTAATTATGTCAGCTAAATGCAGTGTTGATGGCAATTGATGACAGCAGCGAAAGCCACGACACCATTTTGGAACTAAGCTTGGAATAGTCATTTGTAAAGCCATAACGGGCCAAGACGAGGAACAATGTGTCCTCTCCTGTGTATCCTATCATCCAGCTACCTTCAGCCTGGCGAGGACAGTCCTGGCTGTGACAAACACTCTGTCACCTCCCTGTTTTACTGCCTGGCAGCTAATTTCAGGGTAGCCAAAAATACAGCCCGCTAGATGGATGGGATCAGCGGCGCTCTGAAGCTCAGGTGAAAGAAGAGAGGCATCTCATCTCAAGCGGGATGTTGGGATCAATCCCCTGGATCACCTTCAGGTCCTTTGGGCAAGTCACATCAGGTGACACCTGGCCAACACCTGGTAATGTCACCTCTCCACTGAGTAGTGCCTGCTGCTCCCCACAGCTGCAGAGCCTGGCTCTGTCCCCAGCCAGCAAAGTGGGTACAGGCTGCAGAAGACCTGAGACCACTGCTGAGCCCAGAGGCAGCTGAATTCAGCAGATGTACAATTAGGAAAACACAGGCCTGAGAAATGTGCTCGATAACCTAAACCACAACATAAGTACATCCATAGAAATAGATGCTCTTCTATAACCCAGATGGGCTGGTGTGACCTCTTTTTGGGATAGGGAGGAAAATGAGGATGGGATATTTTTAGGCCAGAATCTTTGGATTTGAATTGCTTTCTTTAGAAAGGGGTAGCATGGCAAAGTCATAATAATAATTCTGTTAATGACAGTAATAATACTGTAAGTGCTGGTGTCATCTTGAAAGAGTGATTTGTGCTGCCAGTAAGAATCCTGTTTTGCTATAATCATTAATGTGGTCAGAAAATGCTTGGAAAATACAAACAGAAAGTAGCAATACTGAGGTAGAAAGGACATCTTCAAGGAAACAGTTTTGGGGTGCTCCCTCAAGATGATGTCCCTGCTCCTATCAGACTGTGAGGAGGAAGCTGCCTCCCTCAGCAGGACCTTTGGGAAACAGCAGCAAGCACCTTTTTAAAAATATACAGTGGAATACCTCAGGTTCTCTACTTACTAACTATTTTAATTAATTTTCTAAATTCCAAGCAATTTTTTTTTTCTAGAGCATGGTTTGGGTTGGAAGGGACGTTAAAGATCACCCAGTTCAAACTCCCTGCCATGGGCAGGGACACCTTCCACTAGACCAGGTTGCTTCAAGCCCTGTCCAGCCTGGCCTTGGACACTTCCAGGGATGGGGCAGCCACAGCTTCTCTGGGCAACCTGTGCCAGGGCCTCACCACCCTAACAGTAAAGAATTTCCTCCTCACATCTAGTCTAAACTACTCTCTGTGTGTTTAAACCCATTTCTCTTCCCTGTGTGACCATCCACACACAACACCAGAGCCCAGCTCAGTGCACACATCAGAGAGACTCCTGGGGAAGGTTGAAAGCACAGATGAGACAATCTTGTGGCTGTGCTTTAAAAGCTTCAAATCTACCTGGTAGAAGGCAGCAGAGCAATGCTGTGCTTGCAGAGGCAGGCACAAGGAAGGGAGCTGAGCCCTGGCAGAGGAGAGGCAGCCCAGCAGCAATTTCACTCGCTCAGGGAGTGAGAGCAGAGCCATGGTGGCAGGAGCCAAGTTTTTCAGCAGAGCAGATGCATCAGCAGGGTTTTGGCAGCCTCTTAGGACCCTGAGACCTCCAAGGTCTGCACTTTTAAATGGGTCATTTGCTGGACTTTGGTCCCAGAGGTTACCTTGAGGAAGCTGAGAACCACGCTCCAGATGCTGAGAGACCTTGTGGAAGGGAAGGTCCCAGTGGTGGGGAAACCTTTGTGGAAGTCACCATGGCTGAGGAGAAACCACCTAAAACCTCACAAAGATCCTAAACTACTGACATCCATCACTCACCCTGGGACTAACCGAGCACCAACCTGCAGCCCCTGCCATAGAGAATGACATCAGCACTGCAAAAAACACGGGCAAATTATGATGACCAGGTTCAAAGCCAAAAATAGCTGCCAAAGTCCCTGATTTCAAGAGACTGGGTAAAATACCCAAGACAAAGAAGCTGTTATTGCTGAAAATGCAGTCGGGATGTGCAGCTAGAGGCAAAAATGCCTCCCAGTAATTGCAGATGTGCTGTCAGGGGGACGCGCTGCTCCTGATGCCGCACAACCAGCTGATGTGGAGCAGGCAGCAGCAGCCCTCGTCAGCATCACATGCTGCCTCCCTGGAGGTGGGAAGATGAGAAGGGGGTGCTGCTGATCAGCATGGTGATGATGGAGAAGACAACATTCCCCGCCTTGCCGGCCAGCCCCGACACAAAAAAGGGCTTTCATCGCTACTGTAATCACTACTGAAATACACTGTCACACACAGCCTGTGAGACGGGGTGGGGAGAGGAGCTGGGGAAAATACACTAAGGACCCTCAAAAATTACAGAGTTAGAGAAAATCACAGGGGCAAGGCCTACAGGGGCAATGATGAGGAGAGGTGGACTCAGCAGTGACATGAGGGCTGGCACACTGGGTGGGAATTACAGTGTTCTTGTTGCCATCATCTACCTCAAATATGCACTCTCTGCAGCAACCCCTTTTTTACTCCAGACACACTGGGCTGGGATGTAAGTCCTCACCCCAAAATCAAGCAAGGTCACACCAGACCCTGGAAGAATCACAGGCTGCTGGCAACAGTTTGGTCATGCTGTTCCCATGGGGATCAAGGGGACCCCTTGGCACATACAGAACAGCAGCATTGTGCCCAGCCCTGCTGCTGGGGCACATCTGGCAGCAGATTTCACACCCACCTTGGCGAGGTGTCAGCCACACCTGCATCAGGCAGCTTTACAAGTGCATTTTGGCATCTCTAAATGAGACTGGGGGGATAAGGGGGCCATGCCAGCCCTCTTAAAGACAATACCTGCAGCCTGATGTTCCTGAAGGCACCCCCAGGGTCATCCCACAGCTCCTATGGATGGTGCAAGCTAGCAAGGTGCTATCAATTTACTCCCTTACCCCAGCTGAGAACGGGTATCTGTGATTGCAGAGCATCCTCACTGCCAGCAGAAGTCAACACCTGGCAGGTCTGTCTCCACTTGAAAGGTGTCAGCGTCCGAGCTTTTCCTTGGACGACTGCAAAGTCACTCGCTGCCTCCGCCCCACGGCCTTGACAGGTGATGCCGATGGAGGGGGGACCCAATTACTGCTCGTCACTGCCCCAGCACGGTCCAGGCGTCAGGCCGATGTCAGAGCACACCGAGACACAGCTGACGTGATGCCCGGCGCTGCGGCGGGAGCAGGGGAGCGAGGGGTGATTGGCAGCCTGAGGCAAGCACTGCCGAAAGCACCAGCCCTCCACAATTAGCGGTGCCGAACCGTTTCCCCCTCCCCGTGTGAGGAAGGATATGAGGCAGTAGCTCCTCGTCCAGGGATGCTGAGCACGGGGCAGGATTCATGCCCCAGCCGTGCTCAGGATGAGGGGCTGCCATGCAGGGAGTGGACAGCTCAGCTGGTCCCAGGGAGATGGACAGTAAATCCCGACTGGCAGCAGCTTCAGAGGCCAGCGCTAATGACACCGGGCTGTCACAAGCTGCACTGTCCCCCCTGCAGCAGATGTGACAGCCCCAAAGTAACCAGGTACCCACCATGTCCCTGCTTCCTCACACAAAAGTGACAAGAGGGACAGGTAATAAAAGTCCAGGCCAAATCCTTGACAGAGATCTGATGGCTTGAGCCGACTCAGGATGTTCATCCCTCCCTGCCAGCTTCATTCCTGATAAACAGCTAGCCCAGCAGGAAGGGTGGCCAGCCAGAGCATACCCCTAAGACAGCCCAACAGCACCTCCTCTCTTCCTTTCAGCTAGCCCATAGACTCCCTTCTTCCTGTTACACCAAGAGGAGAAACTGAGGCAGGGCTCAGCATCCTCTCCCAGCTACCCCATCTCTGCAGCCATGCTCTCAGTCAGGCACAAGGAGTTAGTATGGGAGCACTGACACAGCCCAGTGCACCAGGGGGGCAAGAAAAGCCTGGCTCAGACATGTCCAACAGCATCCTCTGGCCACCCACAAGTCTTCCAGGCAGTTTTCAACCAGCCAAAGCCAAACCTTCCTCCCATCACAAGCCCTCCTTCTTGTTCCTTTGCTGACTGCAACCCCTCATTTATTCTGTAGCCCAAATTATGCTGTAGAAAACAGAACTGTGGTAGTAACACCAAAATAAGAAAGCAGGAATGGGATCCAATTGCCAGTGGCTGGGATGGAGCCACTAGAGCTGCCCTGCCAGCTCAGCAGCTGTGCACAGGGATGGATGAAGGATGGGTGGCAGCCTCCAGGTCAGCAGCAGTGGAGATTCCTTGCTGCTCCCTGTACTGAATCCTGCCTGCCTGTGCCAGCTGTGATGCTGTGCCCCAGCTGCATGCCCTCTGCTCAGGAGGCTTAGTCTCCATGTGTGCCACAAGACCTGGGGAGTGATATTTCGCCTGGATTTGAGTGGACCTGGACAGTCACTGACCCACTACTGGAGCTGATCCTCCCCCTTCCCACAGAGCAAACCTCCCCTTCCTCTGTTCAAGCACCTGTAAACTCTGCTCAGTTTACAGCAGCAAACCCTTCTGCACCAAGCATTCACATCTGCTCTCTCATTACTGACCTGAATTCCTCTTTCACATCAAATTGGAGCAGCAGATAAAATTTTAGGCTAGCTCTAGGCTCTCTCATCCCTCTTTTATTCTGTGTCTGCGCCAGCTTAACTTCCTGGGAAAGCTCTGAGGGTATCTCTTCTCCCACGGGTCTGTAGCAAACCATCATTTGGCACTAGGAGGAGAGAGCTGGATTTCCATCATGGTATCACATTGTTTCCAATTCTGTCACAAGCTGAACTTCTGCTCTTCTTTAAACCTCAGGAGATACAGCTTAGAGCCAAGGACAGACTGCCTACCAAAAAATCAGCTTCTAAAAGGCACATGAAAGGAAACAGAGAGTCAGAAGCATTTGGGGGCTAAGAAAAGTCCCCTTACAGGCAGGAGCTGCACCCCTGGGGGACACATCCCTGGGGGTCACAGGAGGTGTTAGCTGGTGCTGCTGCCTAAGCCCCCACTGTGCTGAGGATAAATAAGGAACTTTAATCTCCAGGAATTCACACAAAAAGCTGGAACTTAGAGTGAGCTCAAAGGCAAAGCTTGTCACTCTCACATAAAATCTCCTTCTCCCCACTTTTGCTTCCCTGCAGGACATCTCCTAGCTGACAAACCTCTGGGCCAGTGCAGACCCTGCTGAGATGACACGAGGTTTCCAGGAAGGGGGATGCTCCTCTAGTGCAGGGCAAGCAGCTGAAGCACCGTCAAGAGAAACAAAGGCGCTGGCAAACTTTGAGAAATGCCTCTCATTATTTACAGAATGACACGAGAAAACTTCAGACTGAAACAAGAAAGGCAATTAGTTTCCTGTACGGAAACAAAGAGACATCTGTGCCAAGTATGCTAACATATACACAAGGGGCAGGTATACAGTACATGAGGAATTTCTTCCAGCTGCAAATCCACCCCCAAATTCTCAAGTCAATCTTGAGTACTACGATGCTCAGCAATCCTCTTAGAAGTGTCCAGATGCTTTAATAACTTAATTCTAATCTTCTCAGACACCATTTTCCATTTAACTGCTGAAGCACTGGAATAAGACAAAGGGGTCAGGACTGAATAAGTCACAGTGGGGAACAGCAGGTCTGTTTTGGAAGTCTGAGAAGCCTAATCTAGTTAAGATGGTCCCAAAGTCACCATCTGAGGGTGGTGAGGCACTAAAATAGGTTGCCCAGAGAAGCTGGGGATGCCCCCAACCCTGAGTGTTCAAGGCTAGGCTGGATGGGGCTTTGAACAATCTGGTCTAGTGGGAGGCATCCCTGCCCATGGCAGGGGGTTGGAATGAGAAGGTGTTTAATGGCCCTTCCAACCCAAACCATTCTGTGATTCTGAAAGCAGTTCACCTCCATGCTACACTGAGCAGACCCGATCCAGCCTTGCTGCACATCCCCTCCCACCCCAGATCCCTCCAGCCCCCGCTTCTGACAGGTTCCTCCAGACTTCCCATCTCAGCCAGCTGCCTTTTAGACAACACTTTCTCAAGATTGTTTTAAACAAGCGAGGAAATTTTGGTGACACTTTAATACATAAAGTGCTCCCTATTTTCTCTGTGCCAAAGAGCAGAGCTTTCTAACACACTTTTCTGAGTTAACATCAGGTGTTAAACAGACGCACACGTTGTTTTAGCAGGAGCCCACATTTTATAATAGGCTTTCTATCTAACAGCTTGATATAGCCTCTTCCATTAAGCATTTATTGCTAATGCATTGTAAAGTGTAACATGCTACATACGCTATTAAAGAATGGAGCTGCCACGTATTCACCTCTTAATAATGAAACACTTATGAACGGGAACCTTAGGTTAAAGAGTTGTGAATTAAGTTTAATCTCAGGGAGATCATCAAGCACTCTGCCAGTACATCATGCCGTGCTGTCAGAGGGAGGGCTTGGACCCAAGTCCCCTGGGGAAGCGCTCCTTGACTTTGCTTTGGAGAAGACCCTGGTGAAAATGCTCCTCCCCAGGCAAGAGTTTGGCTAAATGCCACCAGATTGCTGGAGATCTTGTGCTCTTCCTCAGAGGGACTCCTCAAGAGCCATATACCGTGGTTATTGACTCTCTAATAGTTCAATATAAATCCTAATCATTAGCAACCTTTTTAGATAAGATACATCCTCAGCTGAGCATTATTGTATTTTTTCCTTACTATTCAATAAAAAACCCATTAACCTTTTTTTTAAAAAATGGTGCAAATCCCCTTCCCTTGGCAAGTAGCTGGGGTTTTTACACAATTTTTGTCCAGATAAGGGCACAAGGAGCAATGACTTGATACTACAGGGTTCAGCCATAAAGGCAAGCAGTGTCAAGACCATTCCCTTAGAAAGAGAAATCATCTCGATCTCTTCCCTCCCACTGGTCTCACCCTCCCAGGGATCTATTTATACACACACTACTGCACAGTAAGTCCTGCTTTTGTTCCTTTTCCCTGCTTATGAGTTGCTGCAAAAGCAAGCTCCCCAGCTCCAAAGCCATTGCCCTGCGAACCCTACAGCAGGATCTTGGATCAGTGTAAGGCAGGAGTTGGACTTTTGGTTGGTGCAAGAGATTCACCTTTTTCACACCCACCTGTCCCCTGGCATTCATGGGTGATGGGATGTCCAACTTCTATGTGTGTTCTTGAGGATTTATACTTATTGGAGTGGGAATGACCTTAGTCTGGGCTGGGAGAGGGTGTGTTCAGAGAGCTTGTTCTGCAAGGGTTAGTTATCCCTACCTCAGTTTCCATGGGAAAAGGGTGAAGACAACTTTGGTCTGCAGTGGCACTTCAGTGACACAAGCTCACACCTGCTGGGCTTTTGCCCCACATCATGAAATTCAAAACCACTGGCTTTTTCCAGTGTCAGAGCTAAGTGACAAATCCAAGACCTCAGTGACATCTCTGGGGTGAGTCAAAAGGCAAGGCATTTTGGATTGTCTGAGCTTTGGTACCCAATTCAAGATGTTTCTGAACAAAAGCACTCTGCGTGCCTGGAACTCCCCCAAAAAAAGCTCTCAGGTTCTTGAAGAGGCTTCTATGTGGTAAGGAAGACCAGTCCTGTGCCTGTTTCCTCTTACTGCACATTACTGGTGGTCCTGGTGAGAGTTCAAAATGAAAACACCCACAATGGTACTTATGGAAGCTCCAGCACATGGTGATAGTTGTGTTGGGCTTCTTCCTGTCCAGCCATCCCTTTTGCACCTAAGATGTGCCACCTTAGTCAGTCTTGGGGGGGGAGAGCAACAAGGGGCAGCCATGTGACTTCCATAGAGCCCAATAGCAGCTCAGGTTTCAGAGATAAAACACATACCTCGAGGGGCTGGTGCAGTTTCTAGTTGTGTCCCCTGATGCTGCTGGGACAGCCAAGGGCTCACATGCATAGGGACAGTCACAGCTCATGAGGGAATATCCCAGCTGGGGTCTTCCACCTCTCTGGGAGCTGACACCCATGCTGACCAAGGCTCTGCTGGGCCAAGTAGCATCAGGATCCTCCAGTTACACATGCCTGTTCAGCTTCTGAGGTGAAACAGGGCACCTAAATTATGACACAGACAGAGTACACTTGGAAGAGGTGGAGAGGTTGAACCCTCCAATTGCATGCAAAATCTCTTCACAGTGAGCAAACATTTAAAAGAAGAGACCTCCTCAGCCGACTGCTCCCTGTCCTGGAAGTCAGATTAAAAAAAAATACAGAGGCCTGTGTGTTCCCCCTCTTTAGATGATACATTTTCTAAACTTCTTCTGAGTTTTTATGGATGAAGAAGGGGGGAAAAGTTCATCCCAGGCTGACACGCCGGTGTCCTCAACACTCACAGCAGGACCCCAGGGGGTTCAGTCCTCTCGGCCTGCCGGGCCCCGCATGAGCACGGAGGACCCCACAAAACCTCCCTTGGTGAGTGCAGCACGGAGTTGCCTTGTTTCCCCCACGACAATCGCCTTTCTTCCCGGCGCCCGTGGTTCCCTTTGTGTTTACGATAACAGAGGGATGCTTTATTGCATTTCGCCCGCCCGCTGCCATGGCAACCGGCGCTTGCTGCGTGCTGTAAAAATAACCCTCCTTCTTTGATAGATTTCACTTGAGTGAAAATAACCCTTAAAAATAGGTTGAAATTTCCATACTAACTCTTCCAGGAGGTTCCAGGGAGGCGAGGATGAATTGCAGGATGGGCTCACGGGGACACAAGGTGCCACCCCGGCACCCTCCAGCTTTGGCGCTGAGCTCTCACAGAGGAGCCCGTGAGGATGCTTTTGGGGAGCTGCCACCAGCCAGCCCCCCATGGTTACCATGGTCCTGATGACATAGAATAATAGAATCCTAGAATGGTTTGTGTTGAAAAGGATCTTAAAAATCATCTTGTTCCAACCCCTTTGCTACAGGCAGGGACACCTTCCACTAGACTGAGGGCCCCATCCAACCTGGTCTTGAACACTCCTAGGGATGGGGTATCCTCACCTTCTCTGGGTAACCTGTACCTGTGCGACACCCACCTCACAGAGAAGACCTTTTTCCTAGTATCCAATCTAAACCCACTCTCTTTCAGTTGGAAACCATTCCCTCTTGTCCTGTCACTAAATGACCTTGTCAAAAATCCCTCTCCATCTTTCTTGTAGGTTCTCTTCAGTAGACATGGTGGATCTCCGTAGCTTCTTGGTATTTGTTGCAAAGAGCAGAGGTGCTGTCCCCTCAGTGCCTGCTATGGGGCCTGATTGGGATAAAGTTCAGGTTTATCTTCTCAGCTCCTCTGCACCACGGCCTCAGAAAAAGGCTTTTCCCATCTTGAAGGTGCAGGGAGCTTTTGCTGGAAGTTGGTACTTTCCATCAGCACTTCGGTGTTTTATAGCAGGCCATCAGGAAAGCTTCAGCATGGGTTTTGGATGAATAGATAAGAGCACATGAACAGCCAGCATTGAATTGCTCCCCAGAATAAAGCCACTCTCATGCCTGGGAGAGCTGAAATGGCCATCTCTTCACAGGCCACAGGCCCAGACTCTCAAAGACAGAAACGATTCATGGGCATGACATGTGCTGATGCTGAGAGAGGTTCAAGACTCCCTCCTTTGCTTCAGTGCACCTGTACTGGTGCCAGCAGAAAGTTTTTCAGAACCTTGCTCTGGAGCAACGAGGGCGTTTCTGTCGCACCCACTCTTGACTCATCCTCAGCCAGAAGATCTTTTTTTCTCTTTTGGCTCATTTCTTTCCTTTTTGTTCTCCCAACCACTCAACTCTTCTACCTCCAAATAAAAGCCGATTCACATTTTAGAGGTGGCCCCTGGTTCCTCCCATGAGTTTAGGTGAGTCGAGCCATAAGAAGTGGAGTAATGAGATTATGATTAAAAGCACACCTTGATAGTGGGGCATCCATCAAGCTGTCATAGAAATCGTATCTCGGAGGCTGCTCTCATCAATCTGACCTTTCAATTATTACCCAGAGTTCATGACTCTAAGTGTATATAATTCCTACCTCAAATCTGAGAATACACGCCTTTGTTTTTTTGGCTTCCTTGTGCATGGCTGTGCGAGGTATCCTTCACTGGCACATCAGTGATGCTTTGCAATTCAAATTAACTTAAAGTAGCTCTTCTCTCACCCAAAAGTTTGGGAACAAGATCAAAACACTACCAGGGCGCCTGAAGGCGGTTGTTTGACATTTTTATTAATGTATTTTTTACTTTTTCTCAGCTGTTTTAAAGCCAGTGACCACTAAGGTTAATTCCAACAGTGCTCACAGCCTATGCTCCACTTTGGCTTGTGTCTCCACAGAAAGGTGAGGATGCTCAGGCTATGCCACAGCACACCCTCAACAACAGGGAAATCCAACCAGGACAAGGTTACCCAGGCATCTGCACAGATGAGCTTTTCTGTCCAAACATCACTGAAAAAGCTCGGTTTTGTGAGCTGCACCCCAGCCAACATGGTAATTCAGGAGCAGGATGGAGCCTACTTCAGCTTTCCATTGGCATCATTAGGAGGATTCCTCTGCCTATCACTAGAACCAGAGCACTGCTCACCCCCAACAGCTCCATGTATCCCACCCCACCATCTGTCCAGTGTGGGGGATGAGATAAGACACAATTTGCTTGGCACCAGCCTGGCAACTTGCAGGATCCAAGTGAGTTTCCACAGGGCACAGCGTTACCAAGCAATGAAATCCTACCTGAACCTTTTCTACAATAACACATGCAGGACATCAGCCTGTCCACAGGGAATACCCAGCACCTGGGAACAGGGCATCCTCTTGCTCCCTGCTGGCTCCCGCTAACAGAGGAACAAGCACTGGCTCTTCCCACACAGCAAGTTAGGAAGTTGTTCCTAGACAGGATAAAACAAATGAAGCCATTTGCTTTATAATTTTTCTCCAAAGGAACTATGTGTTTTTTATAAGAGTGACCTTCTCTGCTATCTAGTGACTTTTCGCAAACAAAAAAACCCCACAACATGCAGGTTGTGGAAGAAAAGAAATGCCTGGTTGGTAAAGAAATTACAGGAAATAAAAATGCCTTGATTTGGGATGTTTGACAAATCCAGCCCAGAAGACATTTTCTGGTGGTGGTATTATTGGAGGGTCTGTGCAGCCTTCAATCACAACTTTCTGGTACAAATAAGTACTGAAAGGAAGATCTTTTGCAAAAATCTCTGCACTGCTCAAATGACTGAAACTGTGGGGATTCCAGAAGAAGAGCCTTGAAAATAACCCCAGAGACTTAGTGTGACCCTCAATGCTACAGCAAAGGTGTTCAGGTGAGGTCAGGCAAGGCCAGAAGAGAGTGAGTCAAAAACACTCTCAAAAGCAGAAGCAGCTTTCAGAAGTGACCCTGAGGCCAACACAGCATTAGAACATTTCCCTGCTAACACCTGCTAATCCATGCAGCCCTTTGCAGTGGAGCTGAGAGTGGATCTGCTGCCATGCCACAGGACCAACCTCCCTCCATCGCAGCCTGGCCCAGCTGGCATCACTACAGACTCATTGCTAAGCCACTGCCATTATTGGCAAAGCAGACTTCTTTTCCAGGGAGAAAACACTTGGCAATATTTTGGGCACAACTTTTAAAGGCCTTACAAAAGCCTTACTTACTGAAAGATTAAAGGTAAGCAGAAATGTATCCCCAGTGTCCAACTCAGTGGTGGGGACAGCTGCTCTCAGCTTCAAGACAAGAACAAGACAAGACACCCAAAATATTCCATCTAGCTGAGGGACCAAATCCCTCTGCATCGTAGTGCTCAAAAAAAGCCTCAAGAAGATGAGTCCAGCACTCATAGCCCAGCTCCTCGTGTCTTGCAAACCTCAGTGCTGCAGGACTGGTTTCCATTTTGCTCCTGGGAGCCAAATGCAGGTTCCCCTCTGTCCAAGGAAGAGGTCATATAGTCACACACCACCACAGTCATTTCTCTCCTATATGGTAGCAACATAAACAAGCAGTCTGGAGGCTGCTACATCTGCACTGTAGCCACAGGTTGCTCCCTCACAGCCTGGCCTCCACACATTTCTCATGCCAGCAGAATCTGATGACAGCACCAGCTGGAGCTTCTCTGCCATGAAAAGGAGATGAGACCTGCAAAGGTCCCACTTCCATTTTTGAGACCAAGCCTTCACCCTCAGGAATCAAATCTCTGCTGCCTTAGAGGAAACCATTTCATTTACATCTCCATAATACCCCAAAAGGGGCTAATTACAGTTATCACCCTGGCTGCTGTATGAAACGAGCTGATGGGCTTGTGCATTCACCTGAGCAGGCAGCGACCACATCACCTGACACAAGACTTGTCGCTGGAGAAAGGTGGCCCCTTTGGCAGCAGCCAGGTGGTGAGGAGAGGCATCAGTTTTGCTGCTACTGAGAGGAAAGTTCTCTCTCCCAGAGGAGCAAGCAGGCCGGCGTGCTCCCATTCCACCTCCGTGCAACCAAAACGATGCTTAATGCCTCCCTCAAGGTGGTAACTGCAGCTGAGCTGTGCTGTCAGGAAGGCTCTAATCCTGTGCTAATTTATTTTATCAAATTAAAAAGACGAGCATCCATGGAACACCAGAGACCTCCTGTTCTCAGGGTCCCAGTAGAAAGCTGCATGATCCCTTTGTAAAGAGGGTTGGGGGGTTGTTGTTTTGCTTCTCTTTTTGCCAAGAATATAAAATTAATAAAACAGGATTAAGGGAGATATGGTTTTAACCGATTCCTTAATCCCAGAGAACAATTAATGAGAGCAATGCACCACTTGGCTCGACTCTCCCCACATTTGAATAATAAATAGCATCCACCAAAAAAAAAAAAGGTAGGTAAAGGCAGCAAGAGGAAGATTGAGCTTTAAATTCCTAATACAAAGAGCTTTTGCCATATACATGTGTGCAGTGCATTGCACTGCCTTCTGGTCTTGGATCCAGAAAATACAGAATAGAAAAAAACAGAGACCAGTTCTGGCCACGCACAGACCTGTTTAAGCCAAGATTTAGGGAAATCTCCACATATTTAAGAAACAAAGTACCACTAAAAGTCCAGTAAATTGCCCATATTAGGCCCTGCATGCAAGCATCAGCCAAGACTGGCTGACTTGGGTACTGTGATCCCAAAGCAAGGTGCCACTCTCAGTCAGAGTCACTCACTCTTAGTATTCTAATCTGTATAAAATATAGAACTTGAGCTCCTGCAACACTCACCCTCATGTTCCCAAGCACACTGTGTGCCAAAGGCAGGGCTGGTCTTCTACAGAAGCAGCTCTGCAAAGATTTAGGGATTTAGACCACTGGATCTGAACCATCTAAGAGTTGCTTAAGTGTAAGATTATCTATAGGGTCTTCTAGTCAACACGGCAAGGGTGTCTGAGGTCCTTCAACTTAGGTACCTGTTTTATGGAGGAACTGTCTTTTGGAAGTGTCCCACAGAGGACAAGGAGCCCTATGAGACTGGACACCTCTTAAGTTCAAATTTATCCCTACTGCCTTTCCTTGGAGATGGAAAATGCCTTCCTAGGGCTTACTCCAAGAGTTCCCAGACATCACCATGTCTCACAAGTATCTCCCACCTCCTTGCCACTGCTCACCTATAGATCAAGCAGAAGTCCCTGCCCAACATGCAGAACAAAGTCTACCACCTGAGAGAAAAAAGAAACACAGCTTCTCAAAGGATGTTCTCATCCCTGTTTCTTCTTAACTCAAAAGAGTCAAAAGAACCAAGGATGATCCTCAAGGAATTATTTTTTTACCTGATACATAGATACCAATTTTGGACCTCTGTCACACTTCACACA